AGGGGGTTTTTTTTTGGGGTTTTTTTTGGTAACCCGGGCGTGGGGGTTTTTTTTTTCTTTGGGAACGGGGTTTTTTTTTTTTCCCCGGGGGGGGGGCTTTTATAAACACCGACAACGGTGTTTTTTTTCGGCCATGCCCCGGGGGGAAAGGGGGGGGGGGGGGGGGGGGGTCGGCGGAGCAGCAGGCGCGGCTGAACTAATACTACTGTAAATGGGTTGTAGCGTTGATGCTTCTTTGTTTGACATCTTGTGTTTTGAGACTGCAGTTTCTTGTATAGACTTTGCCCGTTTATCTCGCAGAAATTTCACTTCCGAGGTTTAATGGTTTCGGTGGCAATTTTTCTTCCTCTCTCTGCTGGTTCGGTTTTGGCAACCGCATTTTTTTTTTTTCTGTTAAGGTTTTATCAAGTACAGGTCGCGACATATGGTCATACCTGGCCGTTGTGCAGACCTCCTATAATAGGAAAGGCCCGGCTTGTTTATGGACCTTAGTCAACAGCAGCACGGCTGATGCTTTGCGCGGTGGGAGCGGCGGGGGATACTCTAGTAACAGTATGCATATGATGCCACGAACTGGTGTACCAAAGATCCGCACGTCAAGGCTTGTTAAATGTCTGCGGTTTTGCTGTTGCTGGTTGGTAATAATAGCTGCCGGGGCACTATTCGTGGACGCGGCTATCATACATAGCTCACAGCCGGACAGAGATGCCCGTGTTACATTTATTGACCAGAGAAGGAGGGTGAACACTTACAATACGACAAACCAACACGGCTGTGTCTGTCTATGGTGCACTTGAAAGTACCTGGTATGTCGTGTTTCGTGCATGTACGACACGCGAGACGCTGCGCGTCAGGAGCACTCACTCCATCACTCCGTCTCTCCATGAACCAATCGAGGGTCTCGTGGAGGATGCGTATAGTCTGTGCTCGCGCATAGGACGGGGGTGAGCACGAGGTCGTCTCTCCTACTTTGGCCATTTCGGAGGATACAAAACACACAAAAATGCGTGGTTTTGTAGGTGTGCGGGTAAATATGCGACTCGTAAGTTTCGAGAGGACTTCCGACTTCAAAAAAAGCATCAAGGACCAAACATGAAAAACATCGGGGACTCCGTGTTTCGACTAGGGCGAGCTCGAGCCCCAGCCACCTCACTCTCTCTGTGTCTGACCGTGCCCCCCCCCCCCCCCCCCCCCACACACACACTAGATACGGGGCTACAATTTGGGCCGGTAAAGTGCCCAGGGGTTTGACTGGCACATAGTCTACATGTATACCCGACACAGGCACTGTTCAAGCACAAAATCAACTGGTACAGTACCCCAGACTGTGCCCACGCGACAACACCGACATTATCGGAACCGGCCACGTGCGGGGCCTCTACCGCTTGCTGTATGCCCTGCAGAGGGGGGGGGGGGGTGTACTCATAAGTCGTGCATGCCGTAGTCGTTAGACCGTTGACGTCGCATCCCTACAAAGCCGGGACGGAGCACGCCGGGTTCTCACCGGACCAGGCTCTCACGTCACCAAGCGCGAAGCGCCGTGAGATATTTATTCGGCGAGTTGCATGAAGGGTGCGCTGCATCCTGCGATTACTTCCTTGCGCATACGAATGACACCTACCTGCAGAGGGGGAGGAATACTATCCGTAGGTGGTGACGTATGGCATCTACCACACCCACCCCGCGTGCCGGTTTTCAAAGCTCGATTATATTCCACGAGGACCAGGAGGGTGCACGAGAAAACGAAACGATACACTTGACTTTCGGAAAGCTGTCTCTCGACGTTATCGACTCCAACGCCGCCGTCTTCAGCACCGCCATTTTTTTTTCCGCTGTGGAGGAATCGAGCTTTGAACATCGGCGGTCCAGAGGGTGTGGCATCTTGTGTCACCCAAGGTGGAAGTAGTACGGCGGTCATCGCCGCCGAGAGCGTGCTCTAGCGCCCGAGAGTGAGCGGAGGGGCTGATTGCAGGCCATCACGTGTTTTGTGTCGCCTGGAAGTAGATAAAAATGATAAATTGAGAGAAGAATCGTATCGACAATAAAATTAGAGGCAAAGAGACGTTGTTATCATTGGCTTCGGGTGAACGCGCGGCGCCGTGAGCGGTGACGGCAGCACGCGACGGCAGCACGCGGGGTCTCACCCACTCGTTCTTCCTTTGTCCTACCGCTTGCTTGCCTGGCTCGGCTCTACGGTTACATTGAACAACATGCTATTCTACGTGTCCCTCCCTCATAAAAAAGTCTACCACCGGGGCTAAACGCGCGCAGCAGATAGACCGACAAAAAATATTTACTTCGAAGTATAGCCCAAACGACACCTGAAAACTAACCAAAATTACAAGACTAAAAAATCTGTGTGCGAGCGGGCGTGCGGGGAGAGGGGTCTGTCTGCACGACAAAAAATACTATCGTACCAACGCCCGTCTGCGCCTCATTCCACGAACTAAACGGTACGGAATACTACCGAACACGCTCCAATACTCCACGGGACCTCCCCCAGACGAAACAGTGCCTAAAACCGACGCTTCAAACAGCAGCAGCAGCAGCAGCAGCAGCAGCAGCAGCAGCAGCAGCAGCAGCAGCAGCAGCAGCAGCAGCAGCAGCGGCGGCGGCAGCAGCAGCAGCAGTCGCTACGACCGGCAGCCGAAAAGAAAAACCACCTTGCGGATCAACACGCTGGGCCTTCCACCACACAAACGATAATCGAACTCATTACATACCTACCCAAACCAACAGGGCATCACCTCATCAGCAACAGCCGATCTGTCTCAGAGCGTCATTCAGAATACAACGTCCACGTTCAAAAATAGTCATTTTGGGCACCGTGAGATGGAAAAAACGGTGATTGGCTGTCACACAGAAATACCGTTAGACGGCCAGCTCGCATCGAACACGACGTACAAAATATTGGTGTATATCCCGACACCGATCTGTCTACTATTCGAGCCCTTGAATAGGGCCCCATCAAACTACAGGTGCTGGTGACCACGCATAATCCCAGCTTTTTAACTTTTTCAACTTTTTATCTTAAAACCTGCAACACGGTGACACCCACCACGGGGATGATCAGACGACTGCTGTATAGCACTAAACGGGTAGTTACAACCAAACATAAAAAGCCTGCGAGCGCATGTAGCACACCCCGTACATGGATGGATAGTAACCAGCTGCCGTATTGGGTGACAACACCCAGCCCGAAGGACCTCAAAGCCACTCGTGCCAGCAAACGGTAGACCTCTGCCCACCTCTGGTAGCGTTGGCTGTTCCCCAACAAGCGACTGCACAATATGCAACACGTCAAAATCTCCTTGGCTGTTTCGATTGGGGTCCGGTGGGCGGGACGACCCCCCCCCCCCCCCTCTTCTTTCTTTATTTTTTTAAACATAATAACAAAAAAATAAA